GGGGAGCTGTTATGTGCAGTTTTTTTCTAGGGGGGATTTTGGAGTGCTAGCACTAAAGCAGAACTTCAAAGGGATATTGTGCATCTATCCCAAATTAGCTGCCTGAGCAACTGTCTGTGCACTCTGAGACCATCCTCTGTTGGTAAGAATACATTATCTTGAAGCTGTAAAATTATAGACATTTATGTTGTATAGTGCACCACTGAGCCTGCCCAAGGACAAAAAGCTTGTATATTCCCTGAATGAAGCCACAAAGGAGACCTGGCACAGTGAATAGAAACGGAATAAAGACAAGCTTTTATGGCTTTTAAATAACCCCCACCGCCACAGATATATAAGATAGCTCTTGATGCCCAGAGCTCACCCTGCTTGAAGCACAGGAGCGGGGGCTTCTAGCTGTAAATGAGTATCAATACCTGAGCATCAAAACAAAAATGGGAAGATGGGAAGTGAAGATCAGGCACATTCTGCATATTTGTATAGCTCATGTTGGCTCCCACTATTGTCACTTCTGTCAAGTTATAAACATCTTAATAAAAGCTGCTAAAACCAAATGAATTTTGCTAGTTATAAAAGCCAACTTTAGGCCTTTGCAACAGATCATTTAAGCTTCTTGTCCAGGGTCCAAAGTACATATTCAACAGAAATTTATTCACTGGGAGAGCTGTCGTGTTGAAACAAACTTGGAAGACCTCCTGTAGTTCGCACATGATTTGTATCAGCTGTATGTCATTAAACCATGAACATTTACTAGGAGTGTGAACTACAACAAAGACAGGACCTACACCACACTGAAAAATCTGATCAGACTGCAGCTGAGGACAGTACAACACAGTCCTCAGTGCTGTTTTTAAAATCTTAATTACATAAACAAATGCATGATTAAAAATTGTACTGAAGCTCTGCGCCAGCTGTGTGAGGCAGGCTGACACAGCTGTATACATGTGTCTTGGCACACTAAATCAAATGTCCCATTGTGCTCATCTGGAGTGAATTAGGCTGTGGGAGGGAGGGGGACCTAGAGACTTTGGTATACAGAGGAGGAAATGGGTAATGTCCTGGAAACACATGCAACATCCTATTAGGGGCTGGTGACTGATAAAGAGGAGATAACTAGATCATCACAGCCTGCCTGCAACTTCTCCTTTCTGTCTTTATCTCACAACCTTGAAAGACATGCTGATATATACATGTTGAGGGATATGCATTGATCAGCTTTCTTTCTTTTTTTTAAATGAGTAACATTACAGTAAATCATGTTTGCACTCTCCAGCTCTTAAAATGATAACAGCAAGCTTGCCATTGCAATGTAGCTGGTTTGAATCTCAGCAAGAAAAAGGACATTTAGGGATCCAGTGACAACCAGAAGCTGGAGAGCAGCAAATATCACATACCCCGCTATCTATAAATTCAGCTGATGTGCTGTGGAGGAAGGCACTCAAGCCCCAACTACTGTATTGGCATTGGCCAGTAGCCAACAGAGGAAATCTGTGGTTGTAATAGGCAGCTCCTGTGTGAATGTGTTGCAGGGTATGTCTGAAATCCACATACTCTACCTGATATTTCAATTGCCTGGACAAATAAATGCTTAAAAACAGTGTTAAGCTGTTTTATACTAATCATCTTTGTACATAAGTGAGCCTACATTCTTGGTTACAGCAACAAAATTATCATAATAATTATTGTTTTTGTGATTAAAACTGATTGAATGCATCCAACTGAAACCATACAGCAGAATCTATAGTTACAGCTCTAAACAAATCATATCTGAATGCAGGAAAGATACGGCCCTTCTTTCATTCATTTACGGGCATAAATCATTCTCTTTGAAGCACAGCCGAGTCTGTTTGCAAGGAACATAAGAAAGCCAATATGGAGAGCAGCTGGTCATTTGGGGTGAACATGACATGTTGTTTGTTGGGAAGAAAATGGAAAGAAAAGGAGAAAGAGACAAGAGAGACGAAACAGATGAGTGTCACATTCAATAACCAAAATATCTTTTCCCAGGCTTCATGCATTTTGTATGAAAAACAAAATGAAGTACTACAGTATAGAGAGAAAATATTCAATTTTTTAACCATCCTGCTGTACACAGATCTAACAGGATACGCTGTGCTACCAAACATTTGTAGCAAAAAGAGCAACTTCCTTGCATTGGTTTGTAAAATTCTGTTTGCAAATCTTAAATTCACACAGCAGACAACCATCAGACTTTCATCGGCAATCATGCATTATGACTGTAACCACTGGACAAAGAATACAAAACTGAAAAAACAAACTCAGATCAGGAAAATAAATGTAAAAAAAAAGGCAAATCACACACAGAAGTGGCAGAGGGTTTTGTGCAACAGAGATCTGCTGCCCTCTTGTGTAGAAAAGGATAACTGCACAAATTGATGCTTGTCAGCCTGAAGAGAGTGCTCAGTAACAAAAATGTGCATTGTCTGTCTGACAAGAAAACGTTTCAGTAAAATGACAGTCTAAATAATGCTAGGCACAAATTTCCTATTGTGAATGCAAATGGGTGAATTACACACCATGTAAATATTCTGAAGATGTTAAGAGTGTAAATGTGAGCAATGTCAGAGTGAGTAAGAGCAGGGGCATACGAATACAATTAGATATTTATTATAGAAAATGTATTTAAGGAATAAATACCACAATCAAGTTTTGCCTTCACAAAATCAGTATCTTTTTTTAAATCGCTTCTGAAAATGTTTCTTTTGAATAAAACCTTTTTAAAGAGCATTCTCTTCTGTACTGCTTCTGAAAATGTTGTTTAATTGTAAACCTTTTTATAATTTTCTTCAAACCAGGACAAGTTTATGTCTAAAATATGTAACATGATGTATATCTTTTAGTTACATTTTTTATGTTGTCCTTGTAAAGCACTTTGTCACTTCTGTTACTGATACTGTAAGTGCTATATGAATAAATTGTATTACCAATTAGTATAGTAAAGGGGAATCTTCACACCTAAGGTTAAATTAGAAGATATAATAAGGTTCTATAATAGTCTCTTGTAATGCAATCCAAAGATGGAAAATAGATGCATAAACCTGAGAAATAGTGTAGTTAACCAGCAAAAAGCTACAACAGAGGTGAGTCTATGCATTAAACCTGTGATCAAACAGGAAACATTAATCATCAGAAGCCTTATCAAAATATGACAGTATGTCAGTGATGGAGGAACCTCCCATGCCTTGTGTTGGTGATAATTAGACCCATATCATATCTACACAGGGCTGAGCAGTGAGCATCCCAACCGCCCCCTCTAGCTCAGCTGTACTCTACATGACCCTGTGCCTACAGAATGCGTAGGCTTACTCCTGTTCAGCCAATCATTCCCAAATTCGCTGCTGACAATGGGCCGATGGGACTTGCTCTGTCAATTCAGCCTTTCAGAGAGTTGCTGTACATTATTCTGTTTTACTGGATACTTATTAATATTTTTGATGTGATGAAGTGAAAAAAACATTTAACTCTGCAGCTGGTGGATATGAAGCTATTTCACAAAAGTTTACTTCTATAGCACTTATATAAACCAGAGATTATACAGTGCTTTATACAGATAAAAACAGTGGAAAATGAACATCTTGATCAGTTGATATATACAAACATACAGTACATACACAAATACAAATAATTAAACACAACTAAATTAAAAAAAGAAAAAGAAATACAAATAAATAAATATTTTCCTCTCACATCCCGGAGGAGGCTGGGGACATGGTTTGGTTCAAATCCTCCATTGTAGAAGCAGCTACTCTGAGTTGTGGCCATAAGGTTGATGGTGGTAACCATGAGAATCTGCCGGTGGGCACACATTTCCAAAATGTTGGGACAGAGCGGGTTTACTACTGTGCTACATCGCCTCGTCTTTTAACCACACTCTGTAAATCTTTGGGAACTGCTTTAGTTTTGAAAGTGAACATTTTCCCATTCTACTATTTTACTTTTATTCTACTTTACACTAGAGTCCAGAGGCTTATCTAACATTAATGAAAGTTTGACTTTTATTTGAAGTGGAGTATTGTGACATTGTTTCATTATTACACGAATCTTGTTGTAGCCTATACAGCATGGGATTTGAGGATATTTAAATAAGATTAATTTCACTTCTTCCAACAATATTTCTAGCCCATTTTGTCTTAGGATTTATTGTTTATTTATTCTTACTAAGTTCTATTTATGTTTTAAAAAGTGTTGGTTTATCAAGTCATTGATGCCTGTCATATACATCCACTTGGAACTGGGTAATGCACAGAATCAAAGTCCTGCATTTAAAACTTTACTAAAACAAAAGTACAGAAATATTCAAACTATACCTAAAGTACCAAAAGTAAACGTGCTCAATATGCAGAATGGCACATTTTACATTCATGTATGTCATATTTTTTGGATTATAATTAGTGATGCATTATTGTGAACGCTGTATTTAATGTTACAGCTGGTAACAGTGGAGCTACAGTACATTATATGCTTATAAGTGGAATTACTGTTGGGCTTGTGCCTTTCCCACCATGGATCAGTTAAGTTTCCCTATTGTATTTAGTTTTACTAATTTGATTCTGAAAAGTAACTAGTAACTAAAGTCATCAAATAAACGTAGTGGAGTAAAAAGTAGGCTACAACCTTTAATTCTGAAATGTAGTGAAGGCAAAGTATGAAGCAGCAGAAAATATACTTATATACTTAAGTAAAACAGAGGTATCTCACAATTGTACTTAAGTACAGTACTTGAGTAAATGTAGTTATTTTTCACCACTGATAAACATATGTGCAGGTAATAAAAGGTGTTACTGTCATGGGATTAAACAAATAGTTAGATCATGTAAACAGCCTATTAGTCCATCCATCCTTCCATCTATCCATTACTGTGGCACTGTAACCAACTGGCTGGAGCCAGTCCCAGCTGACAACCACACACATTCACGTTCATTGCTGGGGGGCAATTTAGAGTCGTAAATCAACCTAATCTGCATGTCTTTGGACTGTGGGAGGAAGCTGGAGTAGTCTATTAGTCTTTGCGCCATAAAACTCCAGGTAGTGCAGGTGTGTACCCAACAGCAGCTGGATTAGTAACACAAATCAAACAAGTTATATTTAGCCTCTAGTAATGTCACGCAAACTGATACATACATTTGTGCCATATTTGTGATTTCAATCATAAAACTCCAAAAAAACGCGGAAGCAAGTGCGTTTGGGTATGTTCACACAGGTAGCTGTGTCCAGTCCGAACCCCGATAGTACACCGTCAATGCAGCCGGGTGTGGGCGATGGGTGGGGGAGCAGCTCCGTTGGAAACAGAAGTGACCGCTAGCTTCATGTCAACACACGGTCCTGAAGTCGCAATAGTGCAAGTCTTTGAGAGAGAAGGAGGGGGAGAGACTGACAGAGAGTGAGGGGACTGCTGGAAGGGACACTGGGTTTTATTTGCCTTTGAACCGGTCAAATCTAACGATTTTGCCAACTTTAAATAGCTCGGGAACATCCGCCGTAGGAAGGTTAGCTAGCCACCGCCACCTCCATCTCAGTCGGAGCGACCATCGGTTCTTCCACACTATGGGGAACGCTGCCACCGCCAAGAAGGGCAACGAGCTGGAGAGCGGTGAGTCCGGACTGTCACTTCACCTCAACCATGTTTTCACGCTGTACTTTGCCGTTTGACACTCACCAAACCCCCTCAAAGCAGCTAGCTAGCCTCTTATACTTAATGTTACTGTCCGTACGGGAGTGCCGTGCGTCAAACCCCGCACAGCTATCCACCAGCTCTGCAACACCCGCCCTTTACTTGAGGAAAATCGTCCACGCAGGGAGTTGTTTGTGTCATTTTGCACATAAAATTGGTTAAAGGCCTAGCTGAGGTAGCTAGTAGCAAAAAGACCCCGTGGATGTTGTGGTTTCGTGGCTGCGGGGGGGAGGGGGTGGTGGTTGGGAAGTGGAGCACTGTGTTCTAATCGAAGCCTTTTGTAGAGCTGTGATCGATATATTTCCCATACTGACAGTTTGAGGCGTTAAATAATTGTTTGTAACTGAAGCACACGAAGGCTCCAGCTTGATGACACGCTAGCCTGCTAACTTTAGCTATGAGGAGGGGGCGATTAGCCTTCAGAAGGCCCCTGTCATTTGGTTGCCTCTTGATGGTGGTAGCTGTTCAGGCCTGTACACATACTGTACGTTTAGCCGTGGCGTGTAGTCGCTTCCTGTCGAAATATTTGAATAAACCTTTCCAGGCTGACATCACCTCTTCATGTCTTTGTGGTGGCATTCTCACTTTATAACAATCAAGGAAACAGTCTTACGTTTGGCTGCAGCTTCTCTTCAGCTCAGCCAGCAGCATCAGAAACTTTGCACTGATTACTTAAATCTGCAGCAGTAAACCACAACAAATCCATGAGTAGTTGTTATAAATAGCCAGTAAATTCTACTTGGAGGCAGTGTGGGATTGTTTCTGCCTCAGGCTTCAGTGCCACATTTTATTCTTGGCCACATAAACAAAGCTTTCCCTCTGTACAGCACTGTAACCAAATATGGTGAAGAAATGACAAATGGCCTCTTTCCATTCATAAAACTAGAACATACTACTGCGTTGTCTGCATATGCACATTCACACAAACACAGTCTAATTGTAGCCCCTTGTCTAATCTCGCTGTGGTAAAGGTCTATCTAGGCTCACTTTTCACACTCAGCTTGTCATTGACCAGAGCAGCTTGTCATCAGACCTTGATCAGAGGACAAGGGTATTACAAACTTGGAAAGGTTTGACGCAACTCGGCCGAGGCTGGTGGTACTTTTGCACTCACTTTTGACGTGTGCAGCTGGTCATTACTGAGCATCCCATGCAATAAATCATGAATGTTTACCCGTGCCAGGTTGTAAATATTAAACCTGTAGGTGTTAATTGTATTTTTGCAGTTTGTTGCAACTTAAGTCGACTACTTTTTCTTATACCCCAGTAAACCTGCAGAGAGCTGTCAGTGTACAGTTATGCTCTTAGTTTGTTTAAAGTAACATCACATTATGATGCAGTTCCTCTTGAGATTTATTGACCTGTTGAGAGAGAGAGAGAGAGAGAGAGAGAGAGAGAGCTCAGTAAATGGCACCAACCAGAAACACTCTGGCAGGCAAAGATGATCAGATCAGCAACAGTTCCATTACTGCCAAGCATGTGCGTTCAGTGTAAATACCATCCGTACATTCTGGGCTGTGGCTGACTGTTAAACCTTTTAACTGCCCTGAACTGCTGATTGGTCTGGAGTGTAGCGACTCTGACAAGACAACCTGGTTACCTACAGGTCTGTTTTACACCAGATTACTAGTGTTTACACTTTATAGCTGCTATTAGTTGAAACAGCATAAACACAGGGAGATTAAACGGTGGACATTGTGACACCAATTTTATCACACTGTGCCCGTGTATTGTGTTTCACGCTGTAGTGTAACAGGACAGACTAGAATTAGCGGACAGTGTTATGCTTGTCTGGATGTCTTTTGACATTGCCCAGCTGTGGTGGATTTAGTTTTCCATTAAGGTGCAAAAGCTTGGAGAAACATTTGTGTACAAATTGTCGTATTTCATGCTTTGTTTTGTGAAAGTAAATCCATTATCTTCATTTAAATCTCTTCTTAAAACTCATTTTTATCTTATTCCTCTGAACTGATGGAAACTTGTTCTAATAGATTTGAAAATGTTGTGTAATTTTATCTTTTGTTTTTCATTCCTTGTTTAGGCATTGTAGTATATGCAGTAGATTCCACGTATGTTTTTTTTTCTCTAGTATGGATTATTATCTTTTGAATCTGATGTAATATGCATGACATTATGATCTACGTGTTCTTTAAATACCACAGTAGAAAGTCAGTTTCTGTTTAAATTCCTCAGCTGAATGTCAGCTCTGTTTTCATACCTGTTGCTTTGAGGCACAACATACTTCATGTTTGTTGATGTGATATACTGGTTTTTATGTACATGAACTCTGTATTTCTCTCTGTCTTCTCTTCTGTACCATCCCATCCGTGTGGGTGACTGTTCCTGCAAAACCATGGTGATCAATAGAGACTTTTGGTATGCTTATTCCTCCAAAAGATGGCAGAAAGGCATTGGTCTCATTGTGAAAACTTGGTAGATGTGCTTGCTTTTATCATGTGCCTTGATAATAAGTCAGTGTTTTTGTTATCCACATTCTCTCAGTCTGGATATCTGCTGTCTGTTCTGTTTCCCATACATCGGTTTGTCTTTGCTTACCATTCCTGTGCTGTGTTTAATACCTTTCCCCCAAACTGTATTAAGTGATGCACAAGATGCTCAGAGAAACCTACCCTATGATTTTTCAGGGTTGTGGTCTCCTTCCCTTTTGAATAAGGCTATGAAATAATTGAAAATATACTGAGTTTCTTGGCATGCATCACTAATCTGCCTGTTGTAAATGCAGTTTTTGTGTTTTCTCTTTATAACAAAGTATGAGATGGTTTGAAAATCATGTTTAATTTCTATCCAGATGAAAGCCGACTGCCTGTATTCTTTTCCATGAAATTACAGTTTAATTTTCATTTCCCACGTTTTTTCCCTTCCCCTTCTGGTACGATAGTATTTGGTATTTCTGTCTAAACCCCAGTAAGTTGTGTTGCTGAAGTGTGTGCTAACCTTTTTTTTTTAATTTAAAAAAAAATTTTTTTTTTAGTGAAAGAGTTTCTAGCCAAAGCCAAAGAAGATTTCCTACGGAAATGGGAATGCCCACCACAGGTCAGAGTGACGAAAATTTTATTGTAATGTTTGTAGTAGCGCCGGCCACAGAGTAGGCTAACGTGATGCTATTACTTCTTCAGAGCACAACATGCCTAGATGACTTTGACAGATTAAAGACCCTGGGTACTGGCTCATTTGGAAGGGTCATGCTGGCGAAACACAAAGGAACAGAGCAATACTTTGCCATGAAAATACTGGACAAGCAAAAGGTCAGTGGGAACATGTATGAGGCCCCATGGGACTTGAACTGTAAATGTGCAGGGATGTTAAAGGTTGGTGTCACTACAGTCAACACAACCCAGTCTTGTTGCATTGCAGAGGTTACTTAGGGACACAAGTAAAAATAAAGTTTCCTATCAACATAAGCTACAACATCTCTGTTGCTACTGTAAGCAAGATTTTCCTGACGAAGTCATCTCATCTTTTTTTATGTTTCAGGTGGTGAAACTCAAGCAAATAGAACACACTTTAAATGAGAAGAGAATATTACAGGCTGTGAGCTTCCCCTTTCTTGTCAAACTCGAGTACGCGTTTAAGGTAAAGTGTGCTCATTTAATAACTACAGTTTCTTGAATCCATTTTGAGCACGGTGTAAGTGTAACTTTATGTCTTAGGACAATTCCAATTTGTACATGGTGATGGAGTATGTTCCAGGAGGAGAGATGTTCTCGCATCTAAGACGAATCGGAAGGTTCAGGTGAATTACGCGTTATTGCACATAAAACATAAAGCGTCTTATTGTGCAGCTCTCCCTTGATTTAATCTTTTATTTTCTGCTGATTGGATCACTTTTTGAGATTGCTTGCAAATGTCTTTTTTTTTTTGTTTTCTTGACACATTTCCTTTCTCTTCCTTTTCCAGTGAGCCACATGCACGATTTTATGCTGCTCAAATAGTGCTGACGTTTGAGTATCTCCATTCGCTAGATCTCATATACAGAGATCTGAAACCTGAGAATCTTCTCATAGACCACCACGGTTACATTCAGGTGAGATAGAACGCAACAAATCAGAATGTAATGTGTCTTAAATGTCCACACTTTGCCCATGTATGGTATGTGTGTCCCTGACTTCTAGGTGACAGACTTCGGATTTGCCAAGAGGGTAAAAGGCAGGACCTGGACGTTGTGTGGGACACCGGAGTACTTGGCGCCAGAAATCATTCTCAGCAAAGTATGGATTTGCTCTGTTTTTTTTTTTTTTTTAATGCACAAATAAAATTTTTCTGCACTGACCCTGAAATTACAGCCTAACATTTTTAATACAAAATGCAACACAGTTTTTATTTTGCATTGCATTTTGTATTTCTGGGAGCATATTGTTGTTTAGTCATGTAATTGTCTTAAGATTAGTAATGGTCATTAGTCAGGTTTTTCAACACAGCCACATAGATGTTTTAAAGCAAGCAAACAAACTTCTTGTAAAGATTTCTTTCTAGACTGACCACTTTCACTGCAGAACAGTCATATAAGAAGAAATACAACGTACAATAGCAAGAGATGCCAATTTTTGAACTGCCAGTTGCCTCTGCAGACCATAGCCATGTTTCATTTTTGTGAAAGCAGCACTAATTGCATATTTTTTCAGTTTTATTAACAAAACTCTCACTGCACTGTGGGAGTAGTTCTCTCTCCTGGTGAGTAAAAGCTACAGTTGAAATTAGAAACTGTACAAATGAACATAAACAAGAAAATATGTTGCATAGAAGTATGTATAACAAAAGAGTAACTTTAAAAGCAAGGAACTTAAGTGGAATTTGTGCTATATCACAGGGTATCAGAGAGTTGCTTTTTTAACTTAGCAGCACATTACCTGCACGTTTCTTTTCAAACTTTATACTGTAGAAAAATTGAGAAGCATTTTTGTGCAAAGTACTTGCCAAAGCAACAAAAAGCTCCCTCACATAATGTTATTTGGTTCAGTTGATGATGTAGAAAGCATTTAGAGATTCCCTCTGAAATCCAAAAGATGTCTCGTTGAGGAAGTTAATCATCAGAATAAAGGTCTAATACCACTTCCACCTGTATCTGTCCTGACTGTTTTAGGGCTATAACAAAGCTGTGGACTGGTGGGCCCTCGGAGTTCTCATCTATGAAATGGCAGCTGGCTACCCTCCATTCTTTGCAGATCAACCTATTCAGATCTATGAGAAGATTGTGTCTGGAAAGGTAAGAACGTCTTTGGAAACTCCTACATCAAGGGAAAAAAAATCTGAAATGTTTGTTCTGCCTGTAGTGTGAAAATAAGTTAAAGCACGTTTAGGTGTATATGTCAACTGTAAAATTTTTTTTTTTTTTTTTTTTTCTCTCTTTAGGTACGATTCCCCTCCCACTTCAGCTCCGACTTGAAGGATCTGTTGAGAAACCTGCTGCAGGTGGATCTGACCAAACGGTACGGCAACCTGAAGAACGGAGTCAACGACATCAAGGGCCACAAATGGTTTGCAACAACAGACTGGATTGCAATCTACGAGAGAAAGGCAAGGCACCGAACACATTTCACAGTGACAAACAGTGTTACAGGAGCCCTGTAAAAGCCAAGTTAATTAGATATTGATTTTTTTTTTTTTTTCTTGTTGTAATATTCACAGCTATGATGCCACAACAGTGTTATATTATGCTATTTTGTTTCCAGAAAGTTATGAGGCCTGTTCACCTATTTTATTTAATGGTCGTGTGATGATTATTGTTTCCAAGTTCAGGGAGCACAGTATTTTTTGCTTGGTTGTGATTTTACAGCTGGCTAGTCGGTCAGTGTGGTGTTTTTCCCCACTTGGAAATCACCCAACTCCACCGCTGGCTATGAGGTATCAGTGCTACATACCATTTTGCAGGGAGGACAATAATAATGGAGTGTTTCTATTAATCAGAGTAGATCTTTAGCTCAGGCTTGAACATCATCGATCTGTTAATTCTGCCTAACCTAAGGTACTATACCACAAAGCTTTGTGAGACCCTGATCAGGCCATCTTCAGCCTGCTGCTAACTAAAACAACAAGGATATTTAAACTGCATCACATTAAAACATGATAAACTGCCAATATTTTAAAGACTAACAAAAGGCAATAGCACGGCAGGTAAAAAAAAACCCAAAAAAAAACAGCAGTAAAAAGATGTGAAAAATTACAGCCAGCAAAAGTGCTCCTTCAAGTCACCATTTACAAGCATACGCAAAACAAAATCCATGGCCTCATGGATGTTTTTATGCTGGGCCATATTTGAGATGAGCTAGTCTGGCTATGTGTCATCTGGCTATGTCTAAATGCACAAGAGTTTACAGTATACTGTAGCGGCAACACTCAAAGGTAGGGTGAAAATGCTGATATCAGAGTTTATCTGTAAAACAGACTCTTCTTCCTCTGAGAACAGCTTTCTTTTCTCTGTCATGGGTGTTTTTTTGTTTTGGTTTTTTTTCTGACTGGCAGTGTTAAAATATCTATTGCTCTCATTGTTGTAGGTGGAAGCCCCATTCATACCAAAGTGCAGAGGCCCAGGGGACACTAGTAATTTTGATGACTACGAGGAGGAGGAAGTCCGTGTTTCTTTAACAGAAAAATGCATGAAGGAGTTTGCAGAGTTCTAGGATGCAAGAACATAGATATATCAGGGACAATAAGGGGCTCTTTGCACTTCTCTAAAGACTTGGGATGGAGCAGAGACCATCATTTTTCAGATCCATTACATAGTCCCTTCATTCCACAAGGCTGAATGAGGTCGCCATGATACCTGGGTGCCGATAACCTCTCACTGTCACATACACCTGGTTATTAAAGCAGTCACCACTTTGTTCTTTTCTTTGTTTTTTTTGTATGTACCCACTATTCTTTTTACTTTTAAGCAGTTAGCTTTGAATATTGTTATTCCCTTTTAAAATGTGTTTTATGAGGAAAAACCGAGACGGTGGCCAATAATCCACACACTAACTTGTCTGTGGCAGTTTGACACACACTTGTGTCTGCTATGGGGTATTCCCTCTAGACGTCAGTGGTGTCTATCTAATGGCCCTTTACATGTTCACATCACATTGGCTATTGTAAAGTTCTGGCCAGCTTTTCAGATTTCATCCCCATGTGCATATCTATCAGTTTTGAAGGGCCTTTGAAGACATTCGAAGTCTAAAGCGTAACCAAATAGAAAAGATTGGGTGACACAAGGAGAGAGAGCCTTTTTCTTTTTGCCTTAGAAAGCCAAGTCCTCAGACCCCCTCTGTCTTCTTGTTGTGAGCCAGACACAGCAAGCCATCGCAGAAAATGAAAAACCTTGTTATTAAAGTCTGTTTGTTTGATCCTTTTGGATTTGTTACATGTAAAGTTTGTCATTTGATATCTTATTTTTTGTTGCTGTGTCTAACAACATAATCATATTGTCCCTAGATTTCACGTTTGCTCATCAAGAACCTTTGTTACAAGTCCATGGAACAATCTGATTTCAGTAAATGGAAAAGAGTGTAGTGAAAACTTTTTAAAGATTTTTATTGAGTGTAATGTAAAGCTGAATAGGTCAGTGTTAATAGTGTTGTGGCCTTGTGCCTCAACATTGTTAGTGGAACCTTAAAAAAGTACAGAATTTATAATGTATTAAATCAGCCATGTTTTAAAATATTAACAGGAACACAAAACTTCAATTAAACATATTTTCCATGTTACCACCCTAGCAGATTTATTTGTCTTATTCTTGTCAAAATGTAGATTTTCAACTTATAGGTATTTGAAAGCTTTATTTCAATGTGCAGTTTTCCTCACAATACACTGGCTAAAATAAAGACTGCTTCTTTGTATCACATGTAACCCTGTTATTATTAAGCTCATACATTTTACATATATGCATTATTTCTTATGTTTTTATTTATACACATTAGAGATGCTAATAAATTTTATTTTTAAAAGTGCTGGAGTTGCCTTTGTATTGTTAGTTACTACTATATCATGCTGCTCTGGCACACTTATCTGAATTTAAGCACAATCTAGTTAATGAATCTGAAGGTCAGCAAAATTAGATTTTAAGATTTTCACTTTGTTGTTTCACATTTTCTTTTTTAATCTTTTTGAGTATCATACATATTGTAATACCAGTACAGGAGGATCATCAGTTATTCATTTTTGTCATGTATTAATTTATTTATTGTCTTGTTTGTATTCAGTGGCCCATGAGTAGAGATTTGGGAATGCTCATGCTTAGCAACAGTCCACATATTAATGATTGTAAAAAATCATATCTTAACCAAACTTCATAGTGTATATCAATTACCAAAAAGTGGGTTTATACAGTAACAAAGAAATAATTGTACTTGCTTGACACTTAACATTTGCATGTTTGGACCTTTGACTTTGCCGTAGTTTTTCTAACGTAAGGACATATGGGTAATGTAGTGCAGTGGCATCCCATACAACAGGTGTTATATATATAGGATTTGACATTGGGTTGTTTTTGATAGATTGTCGATTCACAACACAGCTCAGTAGGTGGCGGTAATGCTCCTTAAGCTGGCATGCAAACCGCCCTTAAATGGCAACGGACGAAGAAGAAGAAGAATAATAATATGTAGGAGAAGGTGGAGGCGGTGGCGTGGCATGCAAACCGCCCTTAAATGGCAAAGGACGACGAAGAAGAAGAATAAGTAGGAGTAGGAGTAGGAGGAGGAGGAGGCAGCAACCTTTGACTTTGCCGTAGTTTTTCTAACGTAAGGACATATGGGTAATGTAGTGCAGTGGCATCCCATACAACAGGTGTTATATATATAGGATTTGACATTGGGTTGTTTTTGATAGATTGTCGATTCACAACACAGCTCAGTAGGTGGCGGTAATGCTCCTTAAGCTGGCATGCAAACCGCCCTTAAATGGCAACGGACGAAGAAGAAGAAGAATAATAATATGTAGGAGAAGGTGGAGGCGGTGGCGGCACACACGTGGGGCATTGCGTTAGTTTGCAGAAATATGGCGGGTATGGAGCTGCTGTCTGATCAGGGGTACCGTTTAGATGGAAGAAAAGCCACCGAGCTGCGAAAAGTTCAAGCCCGTATGGGTGTGTTCGCTCAGGCCGACGGTTCTGCGTATTTAGAGCAGGGAAACACGAAAGCTCTGGCAGTGGTGTACGGCCCGCATGAAGTAAGTAGCACGGACGGAAGTGTGCGTTAGCCAACAGCAATAACAACACAGAAATAATTAGACAAAAGGATATAAGCTACATTTGTGTTTATAATCAGCACCCCACTTATAATCTGAACCTGTGCAGTCTGAAATTTGTCATCTTGAAGTTGAAGCATTAGTGTGGAAAACGACTTCTTTTATGCATGTGTTTATGATCCCAATGAGCACGAAATGTCATTCGTGCAGGTTATAATGCTTTTATGTTGGACAATTCTGTGTGTCAAGTACAGTGTAAAATCACGTTCAGAATTCAAGTTTCCAGAGCCCACATTAATGTCATATTAACTCACTGGTGTGTCCACTTATTAAGATTGTCAGCATTACAGTATTTGATCAAAATCATGTGGACACCCTTATTTACTATTACAGTACAGTGAAGGGAGATCTTAATGGTTTAGTACATTTGGGGCAATGAGCTCCTTTGAGCTTTGTGGTAAAGTCTGAGGAAGGGCTTTTACTTTTTCCAACTTGCTGATGCCCACAGAGGTTTTGTGCGACTGGCCTGGACAGAGCCCTGGCCTTGTAGGTGCTTTTGTGAATGGGAGCAAATTCCTGCAACAAGTTTGTCAAATCTTGCGGAGAACCTTTCCAGAAGAGTACAGGCTGTTACAGCCACAGATTAGTGCCCTTGCATCACACGTGGGTATAATGTTGAGGTTCACATACATTTGACCATGTGGTATACACAGAAGTGTATATTAATTATACAGTACATCTCTAAAGTTATTAAGAACAGCACATAAATGGTAAAGTTCATAAGGGATGTTTGTCGTTTCTAGATGCGAGGTTCACGCAGTCGTACCCTACATGATCAGGCTGTTATCAACTGTCAGTACAGTATGGCAACATTCAGCACAGCAGAGAGGAAGAGGAGACCACACGGAGACCGCAAGTCCACTGAGATGAGCCTCCACCTCAAACAGACGTTTGAAGCTGCGGTGATGACCCAGCTTTACCCACGCTCTCAGATAGATATCTATGTCAAGGTCCGTAATAAGAGGTGCTTTTGATGGGTTATGTTTACTGTGATTTGATTGGTGTGAAATTTTAATACACAGTTGTTTTTTTTATACCAGAGTCTATGAAATTGTCTCTTTCCAAACAGATTCTGCAGTCAGATGGAGGGAACTATAGTGTGTGCGTGAATGCTGCCACTCTAGCTGTGATTGATGCTGGCATCCCCATGAGGGACTATGTGTGTGCCTGTACTGTAGGGTTTGTGGATGAGACACCCCTCGCAGACCTTTGCTATGCAGAGGAAGGTGGAGGAGTGAGCTCTCTGGCCTTAGCACTGCTGCCCCGGGGTGGACAGATTGCTCTGCTGCAAATGGACGCCAGATTACATCAGGATCACCTAGAGAGACTGATTGAAGCAGCCATGACGGCCTGTAAAGGTGTCGGCAAGGTACTGGATGAGGTAGTGCGGCAGCATCTCCAAGAAGTGTCAGTGCTCACTTCAGACTGACACGGATGAGAATCTACATTTGGACGGTACTTTTGCGTGCAGCCTGATGTTACTGGACTTTGAATGGGGAGGAATGATTGGAAATTACATACGTTTTTTATGGCTTCATAGAAATTACTGTATACTTTTGAATATATGTGGTGAACCTAACATAAATATGTGGACCCTGCATGGTATTTTTGTGGCTTGTTTATTTGTGAGTGACTGAATTGAGGGAATGTCATGTTTTAAATACGTACAAGTTACAAAAAGTCATTTAAAAAAATGTAACAACTAGGAACAACCTGTACACTGGAAATAGCAGGCTTCAATTTTAGCTTTAATAATGAGCCTCTCTATGGATTTGAGTCAGAAATGTTACATGCTGTATTTGCTTCAACACCCCTCCAGTCCTGTCCAAGTTAATTCCCATTACAAACCATAAGTAAATCATTTATAGCTAGACTAAAAGATGATTCAATGAAAATAAGTAAAAAAAAAAAAAGTCAGCCATGTCACAAATTTTCACTTTTGTTATATGTCGCAATAAACAAATATTGCTACATGGGTTTAAATACTCATATTTTTTATGAGGTTCAAGAGATTTATTTGCCATTTACACAAGTACAGACGGTACATAGGAATATGTTGTGCATATCTCTGAGTCTGCATACAAAAAAGTGTAATGTAAATAGAGTGCAGGAGATAAAAGCAAAGAAAAATGTACACAACTACACTATCTAATACTTTCACTGATATATTTAAAAATCTGACTTTTGTCACTAATATACAAACAAAATTATTTTTAATACTTTACTATTATGGGGGTGTTAATACCAAAGTGTAATGTGTCAGGGACAGTTGAATGTTGTAGCTTGTCTAGATGGAGCTAATTTAAAAATACTTTATGTGTTTTGAATGGGGGGGCTTAATTTGCAAAGTGAGTAAAATAAATGTAGTGGAAGAAAAACTAAATTTACATCTGAAATGTGGTGAAGTAGAAGTGTAAACTAGCACACAATGAAAATAGTCAATAAGGTATAAGTACCTGAGTGCAGCAACTCATTGTGCTTAGATTCAACCACTAATGTAAACAGTTTAAGGTGTTATGCTGTCTGTTGGCCGTTAGGGGGCAGCTGCACTGATATACGTCGTTAGGAGCTCAAACTAAAATAGGGGAAGAAGAACCATTTCCTGTTCAAATCCAAATAAACTAGTGATGGGAAGTTCGGATCACTTTACTGATTCGGTTCTAGAATCTCGTTCGAGCAAAATAAACTAATCTTTTTTCGAGTGACTTCGGTAACTTCAGCAGAATGTAATTACAATGTTGCATGTTAATTCCCCATCTGCTTACGCACATATTTATCACGTTTCGAAAAATAACTATAATGCAGCCATGGTCATATTATAAGAAATATCGTACCTGTGTCTTGAGTCTATGCGCGGTCAAAATTTTTTTATTTAGTGGGATACAAGACTGCTGTGTTTATGTATAAAGCCAGGAACAATTTATTACCAGGTGGAATTCAAAAACTATTTAATGAAAGGGAAGGGGGATACAATTTAAGGGGTCAGTTAAATTTAAAAATTCATGCTATACGTACAACCAAAAAAAGATTTTGTATTTCCATAAGTGGGGTAAAACTATGGAATAAT